GAGAGAGAGAAGAGAGACCATTCTTGCCTCGATGACAGATTTCCGTACGGTCCAAAACGCTAGTCCACAGCACACATTTCGATTAATGATAAGCGTTGAGCCCTCACCTGCGACACCTTTTTAGAGTCTTCGCGCTTCTTGGCCTCGGAGGGCTGGTTGACGTACTCAAGCCCTCCCTGCTTTACCGCCGGCGAGAGCATCTGTGTAAATCGGTAAGCATATTACTTGTCTTCCTACGACTAAGAAGAGAAGGACAACTAGATTTGCAGAGACTAGGAATCCTAACACAGCACACCGTGTTATCCTACTTCTACTCGCTCAGGACTTAATTGAGAGAGAGAGATAAAGAGAGAGAGAAAATGAAAATGAGAGACAGAGACATGACATTGAGACACACAGACACAAACACACCGACGCACCACCACATACAACACACACACACAGAGAGGAGAGAGAGGAGGGGGGAGCGGGAAGGAGAAGAAAGGAAAAGGAGAGGAGAGAGAGAGGGAGAGAGGAGAAGAAGAGAGAGAGAGAGAGAGAGAGAGAGAGAGAGAGAGAGAGAGAGAGAGAGATGGAGAGACCAGAGATTAAGAGATAGGGAGGAGGAAAATGAGAGACACAGAGACAGACACACACACAAACACACACACACACGCACAAACACACACACACGCACAAACACACACACACACACACACACACAAAACACACACACACACACACACACACACACCACACACCACACACACCACACACACACACACACGCACACACACAACAGCCGCGAGAGAGAGAGAGAGAGAGAGAGAGAGAGGAGAGAGACGGAGGGGGGACGGTCGAGTCGGGAGAGAGGGGATAGGAAGGGAGAGAGGAGAGAGAGGAGAGAGAGAGGATGAGAGAGACACAGAGGACAGACAGACAGAGAGAGAGAGGACAGACCGAGAGATAGAGAGACAAGGACAGACAGACAGACAGACAGGAGAGAGAAAAAGAAAGGGGGAGGGAAGAAAATTAAAGAAGACAGACAGACAGACAGACAGACAGACATAGCAAAGGAAAGGAATAAGAAGTAATAAAAAAAAGAGTGAAGAGAAAGAACAGAGAGAAAGAGAGGAACGACAGCGAGGAGAAAAACAAACAAATATAGGAGTAGAGACTAAAGAAGAAAAAAAGAGACCAGAAATGAGACCAAAACCCTACCCCACCCTTACCTCTCCTCCCCCCCACCCCCACCCCACACCACCCCCTACCCAACGCTCACACAACTTCTTTGGAGCCCGTGTAATCCCGTGCACGCTTATCCAGGCCTATCTTATCCACACAATCCATGATCGGGATTATTTAACCTATCCAAACAGTATGGTCGATTGTGTCCCTCTTGTCCTCTCCCTCCCTCCCTCAAACTCTCCTCCCTCCTCCTCCCTCCTCCCTCCTCTCTCTTCTCTTCTCTCTCTCTTCTCCCTCTCTCTCCTCTTCCCTCTCCCTCCCTCCATTCCATCCCTCCTCCCTCTCTCTCTTCTCCCCTATCTCCCTATCTCCCTCCCTCTCTCCCTCTTTCCCTTTTTTTTCCCTCTTTCTCTCTTTCTTCTCTTCCCTCCCTCCCTCTCTCCTACTCTTTCTCCTTTCTCTCTCTCTCTCTCTCTCTCTCTCTCTCTCTCTTCTCTCTCTCTCTCTCTCTCTCTCTCTCAGCTTCTCTCTCACTTTCTCCCTCCATTCTCTCTCTCTCTCTCTCTCTCTCTCTCTCTCTCTCTCTCTCTCTCTCTCTCTCTCTCTCTCTCTCTCTCTCTCTCTCTCTCTCTCTTCTCTCTCTCTTTTCTCTTTCTCTTTCTCTTTCTCTTTCTCCTTCCTTACCTTTTGCTTTTCCTTTCCTCTCCCTCTTCCTCTTCTCTCCCTAATTCTTCCTTCATCCTCCTCCCTTCCCTTCCTTTGATCTCCTCTGCCTCTCATCCTCCCTAATCTCTCTCCCCATGCCCCTACCTCCTACTCCCTTCCCCTTTCCCCCTGTTTTCAACTCCCTTTCTTCCCCTCCTCCTTGAATCCGATTTTTCTCCTTTCCTTCCATCTCAACCCCTTTCCTCCCTTCCCCTTTGATCTCCTCTCCCTTTATCCCCTCCCTTTGTCCCCGATTTCAACTTCCCCTTTCCCGTCTCTCCCTTGATCTTCCCTCCCTACTCTCACTCCCTCTCCCCTCTTTCCCCTCCTTCCTGACCTCCTCTTATCTTAAACGTTCTCCCTACCTCTATGTTTTCCCCTTGACATCCTCTCCTTATATCCTCCTCTCCTCCTTCCCTTCCCTTTGACTCACCACCCCCATACCTCCTCCCTCCCCTCCCCTCTCTTCCTCCTACCCCTCTCCCTACCTCTCCCTCTCTTCCCCCTACCCCTCTCCCTACCTCTCCCTCTTCTTCCCCTACCCCTCTCCCTCCCCTCTCCCTCTCTCCCCCCTACCCCATCTCCCTACCTCTATATCTTTCCCTTGATATCCTCTCCCATACCCTCCACCCCTTCCCCCCCTACCCCTATATCTTCCATTTGCCCTTCCCTTCCCTTCCCCTTTGCCCCTGATTTCGCCTCTTCCTCCCTCCTTAAATCGCCTACCCCCCTACCTATTGCCCCCCCCCCTTCCCACCGCCACTCACTTTTTCCCTATTTTTCTCTTCCTCTCAGCCTTTTGCCCTCGAACGTATAATCCTCTCTTCACTTCTTGCATCATTCGGTCCCAATAACCTCCCCTCCCCCCCTCTCCCCCCTCCACACCCCACCTTCACGCTGTCCGTTCATCCTCCCCCTTTCATTCATCTCTCTCTCTCTCTCTTCCTTTCTTTTTTCTTCTTTCTTTGCTGGTCAGATTTGGCCGCTCCTTCTTTAATCGTTTGTTCTGGGCTCTCTCGTTCTCTTTCTCTTTCTCTCTCTTTCTCTTTCTTTCTTTTTTCTATTCCTCCTCTTTTTCTTTTCTCTTTCTCTTTTCTCTCTCTCTCCAATTGCATTGTGTGTATTCCGCTATAGGTATCAATATATACACACACACACACACACACACACACACACATACACACACACACACACACACACACACACACACACACACACACACACACACACACACACACACACACACACACACACACACACACACACACACACACACACACATACACACATCCCATTCACTCTTGTCACAAATATAGACATACACAAACACATAAATTGTGTTCACACGACGAGGCTGACATTGTAATGGCCGGTTTTATGGAATTTCTCCCAAGTTCGGACATTTGTCGCACGAGCAGCGGCGACTAACTAGCTCCCCGGATTCTCCCTGGGGTCGTTCTTGTAAGCTGAATGCGGATTCCAGCGGCTCCGTGACGGCAGGGGGCTGACAGGTGGGGGAGGTCCATAGAGAGGAAAAAGAAGACGGTGACAAGCCCCCGGCCAACGGAGGCCGCGGAGGAGGGAGTGAATAAAGGCCACGACAAAGTAAACACGACAGGGAGCTTTCCTCGGAGGACAAAAGGTGACGACAACAGACGAAGAAAGGGAGAGAGAGACCTGTTCGAGGGGCGTTTAGAACACGGGGGAGGCTACACAATCGGAGCTATAGAAAACGGGAAGAGAAGTGCCAATGACTGTTACTGACACGTGGTTTAGTATTTGTATCTGTATTTGTTTGTTTGTATGTGTGTGTGCGTGTGTCTGTGTTTGATTGTTTGTTTGTGTGGGCGTTTCTCTGTATTGCTTGTGGTGTGTGTGTGTGTGTGTGTGTGTGTGTGTGTGTGTGTGTGTGGTGTGTGTGTGTGTGTGTGTGTGTTGTGTGTGTGTGTGTGTGTGTGTGTGTGTGTGTGTGTGTGTGTGTGTGTCGTTCGTGTGCGTTTCCGTGTGCGTTTATGAGTAAAGGTGTTAAGAGGAAAAAAGTGAGACACAAGACTAAAAGAGCGAGAAAAAAGCCGAGGACACGATAATAAAACAAGAGACGTCAGCGGGAACGGCGGAGTCTCCACCAACGCAGCCAAGCGAAGCAAAAGAATCCTGAGAGAAAGCCAGAATGAAAGGACCAAAGGAAAGGCGAGGAGGAGGGAGGAGGAGGAGGTTGAGGCGGAAGGGGAAGAGGGTAGGACGAGAGGGTACGGGAGGAGAGAGGTGGCGGCAGAGTAGGAGGAGGACGAGGAGAAGGAGGAGAAGGAGGGGGAGAAGTAGAGAGAATAAAAAGGAGATGGAGGAGGAGGGGAAGTGGAGTGGGAGAGAGGTGGTGACTAAGTAGGAGGAGGAGGAGACCGTGGAAGACAAGTAGAAATAAAGAAGACGGGGAGGAGGAGGGGCTGGAGGTGGAAGTGGGAGAGGATAGGGGAAGAGAGAGGTGGTGGCTCAGTAGGAGGAGGAAAAAGGAAAAGTAGAAGGGAGAGGAGTAGGAGGAGGAGGAGGAGGAGGAAGGAGCGAAACAGGTAGGCGGAGGAAGAGAGGAAAAGAAACAGGTAGGCGGAGGAAGAAGAGGAAAAGAAACAGGTAGGAGGAGGAAGAAAAGGAAACAGGAGGAGCTGAAGCAGGTGAGGAAGGAAGAGGAATAAAAACAGGTAAAAGCAGGAGGGGGAAATGGAGGAGGATGCGGGTGCCCGGGTATAGGAAGGTAAACCGCCGGTAAAGCCGTGGATCAGCGCCGGCTCGGAAGGGCATCCCTGAGGTAAACCTTTTAAACCGGGCATTCGGCTTTAAATATCCTGATCACATCGCGTCGTGGCCTGTGATGTGCGTGTCTCCTGTCGGGCTCCGTCGGGCAGCCGATTCCCGTGTGCTCTGAGGCTTGGCTGCGGTTGTCGGTGGCTGTGTATGGTTGGCTGGCTTGTTGGTCTGTCCTTTGTCTGTGTCCGTTGGCGTCTCTGTGTCCGTTGGTGTCTGTAGCTGTCGGTGTCTTTGGTCATCGGTGTATGAGGCTGTGTGTCCGTTTGTGTCCGCGTGGCTATCGCTGTCTGTAGCTGCGACTGTCAGTATCTGTGGCTGACGGCACA